GCTTCAGTCCCCCAGGTGGGGCGCATGCAGGAGGCAACCCATCTCATGTTTCTCTCTCACCATTTCTCTCCCTCCCCTTCCTCTCTAAAAAAAAAAATCACAAATCCAAAAGTGACAAATCCCAGCCCTCAATATCCCGTGTGACTTTCCAAAGCCCATTGACCCCACCGTCTCATCTGGTTCCCTGTGAGGTGCAGAGTAGCTCATTCTGCCCATTTCATAGGTGAGCAAAGTGAGGCCCAGAGAGTCACCTGAAGTCGCAGAGCTGCATAGTGATGGGGCTGGGACTAGAACCGAGACCTCTGGCCTCCCGTTGCCGTGCGGAGGTCCCAGGGCCTGTCTTCACGCCGCCGTTACCACACACCCTCCACACGGTGTGGAGTGCGCCTCAGCGACAGGAAGAACCAAGTTGGCAACATGCGGACAGAGGGTGGAGGAGGCCGACTGCCTGTGGAAGTCTCAGAACGCCCTGCCCCAGCTCGGGGGACATGTGACAGCAGAGGGAGCCGCAGCCTGACCCAGGGCAAGGCCACACTCGCTGTTGCATTTCTGCTGATGCGAACCACCAGCGAGAGGAAGGAGGAAAACAGGCCCACTCACATTGTATCAAAAAGAACCAAAACACCTACAAAGAGATTTAACCAAGGAGGTAAAAACTACAAAACAGGGATGAAAGAAACTGAAGAAGACACAAAGACATGGAAAGATATTCCATGCTCATGGAGTGGAAAAATCAATATTGTTCAAATATTTGCACTACCCACAGCAATCTGCAGAGTTAGTGCAGCGATATTTACAATAGCAACGAGATGGAAGCAATCTAAGTGCCCACCAATAGATGACTGGATTAAACAGCCGGAATACTGCAAGACCATAGGAAGGATGACATCTAACAATTGGTGACAGCACGGATGGACCTAGTGGGTATTATGCTAAATGAAAGAAGTCAGAGAAAGACAAATACCATCTGATTTCTCTCTAAAACAACACCACAACACACTAAGCCCTTAGGAACAGAGAACCGATGGTCAGTTGCCAGAGGTGGAGGGTGTGAGGGATGGCTGAGGGGGTATAAATTTATTAAAAATTTTAAAAATAAAATAAAATGATCTAATTTTAAAAAATAATGGAACCTGCATCCTGGGAGGGAGAACATGGTGTAGCATCTTGTTATCACAGGTGAAGACAAGCGTCACCTGCCGAGGATCCAAGAATCACGTGGCTCCTGCTTCATGTGCCACGCCAGGCGCCTTTGCCTGGTGCCCCTCGCGACAGCCACCACCTTCGCTACCTGGGGCACCTCTGGGACGTGTTCTAGCTGTTGCTCTCCTTTCCCTGACCTCGCCAGTTCCCTTGTCTGTTCCCTTGTCTCTCGCTCCCTCTCACCCTCCACCTCTCAGCAAGAAGCCCCTGGAGGCCGTGCTGGGAGCGCAGGAGGGAGCACAGAGGTCAGGAAGGTGCTGGCTGGAGGGTTGCAGCCCAGCTCTGCACCGAGCCCCATGCGCACCCCGTGAGCTGCCTCGTGTTCCGGGCCCAGTCCTCCCCTGGGACCTGGACTCAGCACGCCCTGCTCAGGAGGTGTGGGAGGAGCACGTTGCTGACACCTCCAGTGGCTCCAGGAATGCGCCAAGCGCTCGTGGAATGCCAGGCGGTTCTCCTGGAACGGGGCATTCCCTTTTTTCTACTTGGCACAATCAAGGGCGCTGAAGGGGCAGAGGCGTTTCCGTTGTTCCACGGAGAGATCCTTTCACTGGCAGGACGGACACTGGAGCCACCCGCAGGCAGACAGGCCAACAGCACACACGGAAGAGCCACCCGCAGGCCGACCCGGCCAACGGCACACACGGAAGAGCCACCCGCAGGCAGACAGGCCAACAGCACACACCGAGGAGCCACCGCAGCGTCGTGCACCACTCACTGGAGAGAAGTTCAACCAGGAGGTCTCTCCTTCCCAGGGCTCTGCTCAGGCCACATCAAGTCTACACACACAAGTGCATGCACACATGCACACACACGCGCACACACACCTGTGGACATACAAATGCACACCACACATGTACCCACATGCGCATGCACAAACACACATGCATGCGCTCACAAAACATACATACACATGCACACACATATGCACACAACACACACCAATATTTCGTGTTCTTACACAGATCATTCCAGTCGAGACCTGTGTCTCTTTCCCGCTGACAGAGTCGTTAGCAACGGGGAAATGCTGCAGGGTTACGCTCCTGCTCCGCCGCAGCCAGACCCCGGACCGGCGGCTGCTCCTTCGCTCCAGCTGTACAGCCCTCCTGCCCCACCGTCTCGTGAGTGTGCCCAGCGGCAAGCACCCTGCCCTCTGTCACTCACAGTGGCTCTTCCTGGAGAGGAGAGGAGAGCAGGGACAACGACACAATGAAAACAGCAGGCTTGTCTCTGTGGCAGGAGCCACCGAACCCCACTGGGCGGGAGCAGGACGGAGAGAACGGCGTCCACACTCAGACCGGAGGCCCACGCTGGCTCGGGCGGGACAGCGCAGGGCGCTGGCTCTATCGCGCCAGCAAGTCTGAGTTTAAGGTGCGACGATGACACCTCCTGGTGGCACAAAGCCTATGGCATGGAAGTGGGATTTCTGCGAGGAGAAAGGGTGAGCATTCTCACAAGTGACTCTCATGCTACGCGAGGGGAACAGCGTAAAATGCGCTCTGGGGGGCGGGAGGGAGGACAGGAGGACGGGGGTAGGTGGGGATGGCAGAGATTTGACTAGGGCGCTGAACACACAGCACAGTGTGCAGACGATGTGTCGTGGAATTGTGCACCTGAAACCTGTGTGACTTTTTAACCAGTGTCACCCCTACCCTCTGTAATAAAGGGGGGTGTGCAAATTGACCCTCACTCCATCATGCCGTCACAAGATGCCTGCGCCCACAGTGGAGGCAGGGTTCCGTAACAAGCGATCAGCAGGGACCTGAGGCTGCGTAGTGCCAGGCTGCAGTGGGAGACCTCAGGCTGCGCCCCAAGCCCAGCGTGGGCCAGGGGACCTCAGGCCGCACCCTCCGCGCCAGCACCAGGCCCGTGGACCTAAGGCCATGCTCCCTGCCCCGGTGCTGGGCCAGGGGACCTGAGGCCATGCCCCCGGTCCAGCGGGGCTTGACCAGGGACCTCAGGCCGCGCGCCCCCACCCTGGTGCTGGGTTGGGGGACCTGAGGCCACGCCCCCGGTCCAGCGGGGCTTGACAAGGGACCTCAGGCCGCACCCCCCACCCCAGCGCCAGGCCAGGGGACCTCAGGCCGTGCCCCCTGCCCTGGTGGGCTTAAGGGGGGTGGGACAGGCCGGGTCTGGATCTCACTCAATAGGGGTGGGGCTGGCCGGGTCTGGGTCTCACGTGATTTCGAGGTGCATGTGGATGAGCAGGGACTTGACTCTGGGTCCCGCAGCGCGCCCCAGACTCTGACAGGAGGAAGATTTTCATATACATTTTACTAATTTTCTTTCACCTCTGACACTTCTATTATAGAGAAAGGGCAAATAGCACTATTAAAATATTTCCTCTAATTAATCCCCTTTTAATGTGCATGAATTTCGTGCACCGGGCCACTAGTAAATCCAATAAAAAGGAAAGAAAATGAAAACGCTCTCAGGTCCTAGTGCAGATGGAGCAGAAGCCTCACACTGCGAAGCTGGTGAACAGGCAAAGACATCTGGGAAAACTCGTGGCAGAAATGGTCACGGGTGACCTAAAACCCAGAAATTCCACGGTTAGGTCCACACCCAAAAGAACTGAGCGCATCCCCCATGGAAGGCCTGCACGGCACGATCACAGGAGCTTTACTTACAACGGCCGAACCAGAAATGCCCTGTTCCACCACGTGGACCGGACACCTCCATACTCAACGCCACGCAGCAAGACAGGCTCCACTGCACGCAACACGGCGAACATCACAGACACCTTCGGGCGGAAGAGCCAGGCACACGGGAGAGCTTCAGCATCACCGATGGCACTGACAGAAGGTGCACAGCCAGCAAAACTCACCCGCTGCGAGGAGGCGCGCGGGCCACGGCACGGGGCTGGGCGGCTGCTTCCCCATCTGGGGTGAGCACCTAGCATGTTTGCTTTCCTAGGTTTACATCGGCGGCCAATGCGGACGCAGCCCCATCCTTTGCATCCCCGAGTGGTTTCCGTGCCCTGGCCCTCTGACCCCGGGCCGGGCTGCATGACAGGCTGGCCGAGGCGGTGCCACACTTTCCCGCGTCTGCTCTGGCCGCCAAGCCGTTTCCACTGCGACGCACCCACACCAGCTGCGGGGCACAGCCCGCAACCTGGTCCTCAGAGCCAGGCCACAGAGACGGGCAGTACCAGCTGGCTCCAGGTTCGTGGGGACCAAGAGGAACTCAGAGAACGGTCCATCCAGGCCCGACTGTCACCCCCTGCTCAGGTGGCCAGGCAGCATCACCGTGGCAACAGGCAAGTGATACCATTGTCTATGTCAATGTAAAGTTTAAACATATGTAATAAAAACATGGGGGCTGAAAGACTCCTCCTGAACGTGTATTTCTGAGCACGCCGCACGTGCAGGAAGGAGAACCTGCTGCAGAGCCGCAAGGAAAGCGCAGCCTGCGCCAGCCAGCGGCTCCTGTTCTATGGGTGCAGAGCATGTGGCTGCGGCCCCACCCCCTCTTTAATCGGTCTCCTCGTGCTTCTCCCCAGTGGGGAGCGGGTTCCCCTCTGCTCCTGCTGTGACACACCCCCTCCCCCACCCCGTTGCCTGCCCGTCGGGCCCGGCTGAGTGACGCTGTTACCTGGGTTGACCTGGGCTCTTGCAGAACTCAGGATGGGCAGCAGCAGGAGCAGGACCGAGGGCATCCTGGGGGCCGGGGCCATCTCAGAGGCAGCGAGGGACCTGCAACGCGGCCCACGGGGGCGCGGGAGAGAAGACAGCGGTGAGTGAGGCGTGCAGCGAGGGCACCGCGTGCTCGAGTCTCACGCTTCCACAGCGTTGGTTTCTGTACTTAGAGCTTCAAACCAGAGACCCTGAGAGCTGAATGGACACATGTGAGACTTTTCACACTGTTAGTTCACACACGCATGGAACGGAAATGCTCACACCAGAGGCAGGAAACAAAGTTGCCCAAAGGTTAATACTTACCTGAATGGTGAGTGATGAACAGTAAAACTTACACTTACAATATTGTCATAATTCTGATACAATGCCAACATTACACCAAGAAAAACACTCCGTGATGTTCATTGTCTGTCCTGACTCAGTGGCTCTGGGCGGTGCTTGGGAATTGTATGTCCCCAGGATGACCCAGCGTGGGCAGCCGAGCTGAGGCATCAGCACGAGCTCACGCCCCCCTTAATGAAGTATCTGTATGCACGCGGGTAGCACGCGCACAGACGCCTCTCGCTCTGTCAGCTGAGAGGGTTGAGAAGCATAGGCACCCCAAGAGCAACGCGCAAGCTCCCTGTGCAGACCTGTGTCTCACACCATCGCCCACGCAAGCAGCCGGGCGCCTTGGCCGGCGGGTCTGGGACTGGGCAGGAGACGGACAGGACGAGCCTGGAACGCTTCTGGTGAAGGAAGTTGAGGAAGCTACACCCACAAAAATGAGGGGCTGTGTCAAAGGGCCCAGAATCCGAGGAAGGATTTCCGACGGCCAAAGATGGGACCATGTGCACAGCGTGGACATCAGCCCTCCAGGCTCCTGCTGTCTCCTCAGCACCTGGCAACCCCCTCACGGTCTCCTCCCGTGAGCGTGCGGTCTCGGAGACATCAGCGGCAGCGTGCCGTGCTCGCTCTATGACTGGCTCACGTCCTGAGGTCCTCACGTCCACCCGTGGGCCTTGCCGACTGTCCTTTCTTTTTAAGGCGAAACAGTGTTCCACTGCGTGGACATACACTTCCTCACTCACTCACCCAGCTCCCGGAGGCCCTCGTTTCTGTTGTTGTGGGTAAATACCCAGCAGAAGGATGGCGGGTCACATGGTGGTTTTATTCTGTTTTTATTTTTTAGAGTCTTCCTACTGTTTCCCTCGAGGCCGTGGCCCAGCGAACTTCCAGAAGGGAGCCGGGGAGGCCGAGGGAAGGCCGTCTTCTCAGCCAACGGCGCAGAGAAAGCCGCTCCCGGCGCAGAGGGCGGCCCGCCCTGCTCCACGCCGACGCCACTCAGAACCGAAGCCGGACACTGTACCACTTTCGGAAGGAGGCGGGGAACAGCTCATGGCAGGGGTCCCGGCACTGACTTTGTAGACCTCACAGCACAAGTACAGGCAACAAAAACAAACAAGTGGGAGGCCCCCAGCAGACGGAAAAGCAACCTCTGAGACGGGACATCTGATAAGAGGTTAATTCCCAAAGTATGTGAAAAGCTTCCACAACTCAATCACCAAAAATAAAAATAAATAACCTGAGTAAAAAGGAGGCTAAGGATTAAAATAGACATTTCTCCAAAGAAGACACAGAAATGGCAAACAGATGCTCAAGATCGCTAATCATCAGGAAATGCAAGTCAAAACCACAAGAAACCACCTCAGACCTGTCCGAATGGCTATTGTTTAAAATCTTATCTAATAAAGAGGGAATATGCAAATTGACCATAATGGTCAAGATGGCTGTGCCCAAGCAGAAGCCAAGTTCCCGTAAGCCTTAACGAGCAATCAGCAGGGACCCGAGACTGCGCCCACGCCACCCCCCACCCCCGCCTGGTGGGGCTTGACTGGGGACCTCAGGCCATGCCCCTCACCCCAGCGCTGGGCTGGGGAACCTCAGGCCGTGCCCCCCAACCCAGTGCCAGGCCGGGGGACCTGAGGGTGTGCTGGGGGACCTGAGGCTGTGCCCCCCCGCCCGGCGGGGCTTGACAAGGGTGGGGACGGCCAGGTCTGGATCTCGCCCAATGGGGGTGGGGCTGGCCGGATCTGGGTCTTGCACAATTTTGAGGCGCTGCAGGTGTGCGGGGACTTGACTCTGGGTCCCACGGCACGCCCCATACTCTGACAGGAGGAAGATTTTCATATACATTCTACTAATTTTCTTTCATCTCTGACACTTCTATTATAGAGAAAGGGCAAATAGCAATATTAAAATATTTCCTGCCCTAGCCGGTATGGCTCAATGGATAAAGTGTCGGCCTGCGAGCTGAAGGTTCCCAGGTTCGATTCCGGTCAAGGGCACATGCCCGGGTTGTGGGCTCGATCCCCAGTGGGGGACTTGCAGGAGGCAGCCAATCCATGATTTTCTGTCACCATGGATGTTTCTATCTCTCTCTCCCTCTTCCTTCCTCTCTGAAATCAATAAAAATATATTTTAAAAAAAATATTTCCTCTAAGTAATCCCCTTTTAATGTGCACAAATTTCATGCACCAGGCCACTAGTATATAAATAAAAGACAGCACATATAGGCAAGGATGTGGAGAGAGGGGAACCCTTGAGCACTGTTGATGCAATATTTTATAAATAACAAAACTTGGGAAGATTTCTCTTAGTGAGCTCCCCCCCCCCCCCGGGACACGGCCAGGGTGGGGGGTGGGGGGAGGGCAGGGGGAGCAGGGCTTTGGGCACTGGGGGAACCACAGCCTGTCTGTCTCCAAACAGTTGGTGTCTGTGCTTCACGGCGGCAGTGAGTGCGTGTAACAGAGCGAGTGAGGTGACTGACGACTGATAGTAGATGGATCACAGGAAGATAAAAGTGACAGATGGATGGATTATAGCTGGTAACAGAGAGATGACAGACAGACTGTAGCTGGGTATTGGACAGATGGCTAGGCGGTGGATAGATGGGTGGTGATGGACGGTGGAGATTTAGAGGTACAGGGAAGAGCTTTCGAGGCGTAGCTGTGAGAGTACCTTCGTTTATCTGCAGAAGCAGCCCCGGGTCCACTCGGACACAAGCCGGGGAGCGGTGGGCAGGGGAGTGGATCCCGGGGGCCTTTGTCCTAACAGAAGGGGAGCCCCACACCCCTGGAGTCAGCCCCCGGGCACAGCGCTCTCTTTCTCCCCGAAGTCTGAATATGAACCGTCTTTTCCTCTGAAGCTGAACTAGGAAAGAGCCGCACCCCCACGGCCGGCCCTGGTCCTCGGGTGCCCGGCTCCCACACAGCACATTTCACATCGCACTCAGAGCGCACACAGCTCCCTCTGCTCCCCCCATCGGGGAGTCCCCCCGAGACAGACAATTCCCCACTTTCCCGAAGGACCAGGGCGGTGCCTTCGAACAGCAAACCCTCCCAGGACCTGCAGGCAGGAGCGTGCCTAACCCAGGCTATCCTCCCACGGAGCAGGCGCCGGCTCGGCAGCCGCTGGGCTCCTCAGATCTGAAAACCAGTCACCGACCCCCCACAGGACCCTTCTCCCCAGCCCGTGACGAGGCCAGAGAGGAGGGGCCTGCCCTCCAGGAAGGCCGCGTGGCCACAGTGGGGCCTCCACCCCCACGAACGGCCTCCCTGCAGGAAGGCGGGCCTCGAGCGGCCATGGGAAGGGCCAGGTCACAGACGGGTCAGGAGCCCCGTGCACCATGGTGACCAGGGCCTGGTCGGGGAACCGCCAGCTCGAGGGCCACACATTCTCACTCAGGCATCAGGCGTGGCTTTCCTTTCTGCTGAGTCATTTTCATTTCAGATTCAACAAAGGGGAAGAGGACCCGGGGGGAATTAACACTCAGCAAACAAGTGTGCAGATGTGGGCCTGGTTTTGGCAGGAGACAGCCCCCAAACACACACACACGCACACACGTGCACACACATGTCCCATAGCTGCCCCAACATCCTCACGTTTTTTCCTCACTTTCCATGTGTTTGAGGGGTCTCCTCACACCCTGCTCTCCCTGGAAGGCCCCTCACGGCTCAGAGGGGACGGAGCAGCCAGCCCCGGCCCTGCCTTGGTCAGAGGAGCACTGTGCTTCCCTCTGTCTCGCTCTCTCATCTGTGAGATGCAGACAACTAGAGCTTGTCCGAGGTAGAGGGGGCAAGAGCTCCCAGTCTCCCGTCCCGCCGCCACCATCACCAAACACACCCTCCGGCCGTGGGCACAGACCACGCGGGTGACGTCCTCTGCCTGTCACACTGTCCACAGGAAGCACGGGGGCCACAGCTGACGTCCTCTCTGGTGAGCGGGACGAGGGGAGGCAGTGGCAGCGGTCTTTTCCCAGCAGAGTGATCTGCTGGGTGCGCTGAGTCCAGTGTCCCTGAGCTGAGACCCAGACGCCCAGGAACCCAGCTGAGGCCCAGACAGCGTGGCCCTCAGGCTCCATGTGGTGGCGTGTGCCCCCTAGGAGCCGGCCCTCGGGTCCATGTGGTGGCGTGTGCCCCCTAGGAGCCGGCCTTCAGGTCCATGTGGTGGCGTGTGGCCACCTAGGAGCCGGCCCTCAGGTCCATGTGGTGGCGTGTGGCCACCTAAGAGCCGGCCCTCGGGCTCCATGTGGTGGCGTGTGCCCCTTAGGAGCCGACCCTCAGGTCCATGTGGTGGCGTGTGGCCACCTAAGAGCCGGCCCTCGGGCTCCATGTGGTGGCGTGTGCCCCCTAGGAGCCGGCCCTCGGGTCCATGTGGTGGCGTGTGGCCCCCTAGGAGCCGGCCCTTCGGCT